TTTTTTTTTACATTTTGAATATTTACCATTTAATTCTAGCAAAACACGATAAATTCTAGTAATTTTTAAAAGTAAAACAATGAAAATAAAATCAGGTTCACTTGATCCTGATCATAATCTTTTCTTTGTGAATCAAATGCTCTTTACAAAGGCGCACGATGGTAAACAATCAGTTCGTTACATGTAAATCTGTTCGCTATAGAAACTCATTATACAAGGAACTAATTCGCTATATCCTTAGAAGGAACTTCGGATATAAGGAACAAATTTTGAATGTCCCAATGAGTTCGTTATAAGCTTAGTTTACTGTACTGAATATATAGCTGTGCAGTATTTTTGTAAATGCAGATAATTATAAATAGGCAATTAATTAGTGTTATAAGCTTGTGATGCACTTGAATTGATAACTAAATGTTGATCACTTTAAATTCTTATAGGAATACAGACATAGTAATGTATCACCTTATGATCATAGACATATTGTATCAGTTTTCTCATTTCTATATATGGCATCATACTTCAACGTGTAGAGTGACTTTCAAAATTTTTGCAATTACTTTTACCTTGAAAGTTATATTAACTGCATTGATAATTGGTAAGTGTTCATTAAGTTCATTGCTTCACGCGTGGATAGATCACTGCACTTTCTTAAAGCATCTAAAATTAATGGTAATTGGTTTAAAATTATACAGGGATAGGGTGTTTATGAAAAAACAGTTAGTTTTCTTTTAAGAAATACAAAGTTCCACTTTCATGAAGTTGAAAATTTGAAATCGTGAATTCGTGAAGTTGAAATCGTAAATTCACGAAGATGACCAATAGTTAGAAATAGTTTTCTTCGCCTAAGTTTTCTTTTGTAATTTGGTCTTGACTAGTAGATAGATGACAACTACTGATTTGAGGTCAATAGATCAAATGTTAATGTCACAATTGCATAGGCTACTTTTGTTCAATACTAGTAGATAACCTCTATTTATTTTGATGTCATTAGTTCATATGTCAAGTTCATCGTGACCTTGACCACTGAAATCTTGTTCGACTAATACCTTACGGTTAAGGTTTCGTTTAGATGTTGGTCATGGCTAGAAGAAGAGATCTATCGTCTTTCAGATCACAATGGCATGGACCAGTACGACAGAAAAAATAAATACAGATAAATAAGGCTAAGTTTTGAAATTAAAAACTTTGACCATGTGCAGTTTTTTTTATTTTGACGTCATTAACTTACCACTTAGCCATGTCTTCAATTATTAAACTTTCTAGGGGCATTTTCCGTGGCTTGTATGAGGCCCCTATCGATTTCGAAGTTGCTATTTTGAAGTCACTTGCGCAAGCTATTTAATGAGTATTTATGTCTACTGGTCGAGGGCTTAGAGTCGATGACTTCTAATCCAGTTACCTCTCTGGCGTGGGTTCGATCCCCGGGAGATGCTTTGGTATTTTAGCGCGGAGGAAGGTAGTCTAGTACTGGTGTAACTCTCCAGGTACTATGGTTATGAAACTACCCGCCTATATGACTGAAATACTGTTGGAAAAAAGGCGTTAAATGAAACAAACAAACAAACAAACAAGACAACAAGAGTTTACACAGACATAGGTTTGTGAACTTTATTAATTATAATACTATTATAATCTTTTATTATTAATGTAACACTTTGCTTTTTTGAAATACGCATAAATATTTAAAAATGGCACTGACACAGCATATAAAGATGTTTCATCAAGACACATTTTAAGTTAACTAAAAAGTTGAAAAAATTATTATAATTTTAGCTTTCCCACGGCAGTACAATATTGGAGAACATTTTGGGATATTATTTATCTCTTTTTTATATCCTCGGCAAGGATACATCTATTATAAAAGATTATACATTGTTTATGACCTTTCAAGTATTTGAAATTTCTTTTGTATACGACGAAGAGAACACTCAATGTACAAGCCGTAATATTTTAGACGGTATATGACTGAAAGGTAATATAAAAATAATGCCGAACTTGATTACACCACAGCAGTTTATTAAAAATAGACAGTTATTTATAAAATATTGTAATCATAAGTAACAATTGAAATGCTTTTGAAAATGGAGCAAATTAACAATTGCAATGCAATAGTATAACATTTAAAACATAACACGAAGCTGATTTGACACGATTGTATAATATTTTAAGACGTTTCAAAGACGTTTTATCATCTTTTATACTGGACCTCATGTTATATTTTATGTCTCATCAGGCTTGTTTATGATAACATCATTTGGACTCAAATGATGGTATAAGTTATTCTCCTGAAAATGTTTGGTTGTAGTTTTTACAGTACTGTCATATGTAGAACAATCCTCTTCATCCTGAAGAGATGTTTGCTTATCCTGACCAACGATACTTTTATTTGCGCTGTATTCTCCAGTGCAACCTTTAGTTTGCTGGTGTGCTGGAAAGGCACCACAGTGATCATAATCTGAATTGCAGTTTAATACATTATCAGACACGTGCTTCTTTTTCGAACATGTTGTAACCCCGATAGCATGTACATCATGTTCTATTTGGTCGTATAAATTTTCCGTGCTTTGTTCTATTATACGCGTCTCAACAATATTTTTGTTCCTTGGAATTTCTGTCATCACCTGACTATCAGCTAGATTTGTTTGTTCAGTTGACCCATCTTTCATCTGTGTTTTTCTAATTCTGCAAATAAAAAAATGTTATGACCCCCTTCTACTAGGATAATAATTCTATAAAAGTCCCTTCTTACACAAACGGTCATTGTTTGTAGTTAAAGATATATTATGCTCAAATATGATATTTAAGAACTTATAACTGCTATACAGTCTCTTTTTTAAATGTGAAATAAACATCATTTGAGTTCTCACAGAGAAAACATTTTCGTACATTTAAACTCTACACACTATTTGTAAACAGAGTGTGAATACATAGTTTCATTAAAAAACATCTTGCGGTTGTGTAAATAAGAACCAAATAAAATTGACCTGTAAAATGGAATGAAGGTTCCCAATCATAGTATGTACACTTTTATACATATTTAATGTTCAGTAAGACCTGGCATACAATATATCACAACAAGAAAAGTATTTAGCCAAAAGATTGGCACAGTACATCGACCATAATTAATAATAGAAGTCTCTAAAAGCATCTAAATTCACTAGATATCTAACTTTCTTTTTTCAAATCCCCGTGCCCTCCCCCTTTCTCTTAATCACAATTTGTACAAATTTACCAATTGTTAAGGCATCCACATTACATGGATATTCATATAAAACATTTCTTATAAATAAAAAATGTTGATAGTGTTTGAAGTGACTATGTACACATATTTTATGAAAATAGTTTGTTCAGGAACATTTTTGTTATCTTCTATATTTAAAAAATATACACAATTTACACAAGTATCACACTTAACAACACCATCCATTTATAATTATTTCGTGGTTTGTTGTCACGTATAAAAATAGTATCAACTTAATTATCTATAGTAGTGCAGGTTCCATTATGTGAAAATCTCTTTAAAAGATATCATTCAGGAAAAAATGTTACTAAACCGTGAGTTAACTAGAGAAGAAAACAATTTAAATATAAACTGTAATAACACTTAAAACCTTTACATCTTATTTGGTATATAAGCATCTTTATTTAAATTTGATAAAACACGGGAAGAAAACAATTTCAATATAAGTAGAAATATAACTTAAAACCTTTACATCCTATTGGGTATATAAAATCTTTATTTGATAAAACACGGGAAGGAAAGGACACATGACAAAGTTACCCGCATTCATGATTAACGTATTATATAAATAGAAATTTTCAACACATCTTTTGCAGAAAAACCTGCCAATAAAGCCAATTGCTAAGCCTATTGCAAGTCCTGATAATCCGGACACCATAGGAACTGAAACAAATATATTCAACATTTTGAGCACATTGATATATGGGAAGAAATGTTATATACCTCTCTTTGTGTCTTATTTCAGTCACAAGAAGCAAGGTCTAAATAAACAACATCATTTGACTGTGAAGATCGGGCAGCAAACATGTAAGTTGACAGTGACAATTTATCTGTTTTTTTGTTCGAGCTAAAATATTTTCTGCTAAAGACTACTTTGTAATAACGGTTTGATGACAAAAATCTAAATCAACATTTTTATGTATTTCACATGGCATGTCACATGTCATTTGCTTAACAAAAGTTGCTATTAATCATAAACATATATTATATACATGTATTGTAATTGATAAGTAATACCATTTCTTTTTATTAAAATATGTGCTTAACATATGAATTTGGAATCTTGACATTAACTGATAAAATCATCTGCATTTTTAAATTTAAATACATTTTATTTCATTTTTTTGAATTACCTAACTCCATTACTTCTTTGTTTTTGAATTTTTAGGAAATTTCTTTTGTTTGACAGTTGACTTTGTGGACAATTATGAATTTTAAAATTTTTAAAGAAAAAACTTTGTTTTATGTTTTTTGGGGTTAAAAAACATTTTTCGCAATAAAAACTGAAAGTGGTTTTTTTGACTTTAGTTTTCTAAAAAGAAAATAAGTCTTTACCGTGACTTAAAGCTTATTTTTTATGCTTAATGGTTGGCCATCTCAAGATTTAAAGTTAAAGAACACACACACACACACACACACACACACACGCACGCACGCACGCACGCACACAACCCACCTAAAACATATTACAAGAATCATTGAATGATTACAGTTTGGAGGGTTGTGTTCAATTTAAAATCAATATCTACAATATATCAAAATGAACTGTAATTGAAATGTATATGCAGTACGTACTTGGATAGATGGTGAGACAAGCCCCCCCTTGTTTCCGAGTTGTATGAGTATTAAACTTAAGCTTAGTGTTTTCCTCGATAGGTACTAAACGTGAGCTAGTTATTTTGTCAAAAACTTTTCTCTTTATTTTAAATTTCAAATGTGACGCTTGAGTGATATTTATCATATTAAACACGATATTAGCTTTGTTTATAGAAGGTAATATGCGACATTTACAAGATGTATTTCTAAATTTGGGAGCCTCGATGGTATCAATATAAGCAGTCGTTGTATCTTTCATCCGGTCCTTTGTACATATTCTCAAAACTGTAAGGTAAATTAATATGATTATTGTATCACAATATATGCTTTATAACAAGTGTTCAAGTTAAAGAAAAACTAAAAATATATTAATTATACTACTATAACAAAGATAAAGAGGAGGACCATGATGGCCCTAATATCGCTCACCGGAATATTAATACTCTCCATGAACAAGTAACATTGTAAACTATAAGCGAAAGCAGCTATAAAATCTAAATTTTAAATTGATATCACAAAGTTCTTTTTTTTCTGAAATAGTGCACACGTAAAAACATCACTTGTTGCTATTGCAAAGGGACAACACTAGTTACATAACAAGTCACAGGGACAACACTAGTTACATAAGAAGTCACAGGTTGCTATACCTAATAAATGATGTTTTTTTTTGGAAGTCAATGCATGCTATGAAATTCAATGGTAGATTCAGTCGTTGCTATGTAAAGTTAATGTTTGCTGGTTGCAATGAAAATTCACAGTTTGGCATGAGAAGTCAATGGCTATTATGAAATCACTGGTTGCTATGGAAACTTAGCTTTAGCTCGTGTAGATTTATTTACTATATACATATAAGGAAAAATCTATTTTCCCCCGGGGAGAAGCCAATTTTCGACCCAAGGGCTTTATTGAACTTTTTTTGTAGAGGTCAGCCACACAATGTTTCATACAAAATATCTAAGCTAAAGTCTCTATAGTAAAATAGAAGAAGATATTTTTTTAACTATACACTTATAAGAAAAATCAAGGACCTACATTCGGGTGGGGCCATTTTTGACGTAAGGGCTATAATTTGAACAAACTAAGTAGACGTCTAATAGATAATAATTCGTGACAAAAAAATAAGCTTTGGCCTTTGAAGTTTTAGAAAATAACGTTTTTAATTCATTTTATAAACATATATGGAAAATCTATGTTCCACCAGGGTTTGACCAATTTTGACCGAACAGTTATTATTATAACTAATTTGTAGAGGTCCATCTGACAAGGTTTATACTAAATATCTGCGACAATTTAAATTGATCGAGAATGTCATGCTGTTTACATGTATATTGTAGTTATTTGTAAAGCCGCTTGCAAAAGAGAAGATTTAGACATTTAGTATTAATTTATATAAAAATAATTTTTGATATATTAAGTCATCGTTTGTCGGTAGTCAGGATTGAGTACTCTGTAATGCAAATATGTATATAAGTCTATGTAAAATGAATGACCCTAAAGCAGAGGTAGACATGTTTTATTTATATCAATATTTTCTTGATATATTTCATTATAAATTCAAAGATAATATATCATTATAATCAAACATCTTTATTTATTTCTTGGCATTGGCATGAATTTATGTTTTTTTCTAAGTTAAACGGCGGGGGGGGGGGATAATTTAGCAAGTCTTGAATGCTCTGTAATGCAAACATATAAGTATATAAGTCTGTGTAAATTGAGCGACCCCGAGGCTGTGCAATTATTTATCCAAGGTTCATCATTTCATAACTTAAGTAGATGATCCACAAGGCGATACTACATGTCAAATATCTACATTGATCTTAGCTCAGACGCATTGATCAATATAAGTTTATGTATAGTAAGTGACCCCTGAGGAGGTGCTAATGTTTACCATTTGAACAAAATTGAAAGAGGTCCACTAGAAAATGTTTCATACCAAATAACTAAGCTAAGGTCTTTATTTGGACAAACTTGGTAGACTCTCACTGGAAGATGTTTCATGTTAAACAGCTGAGCTGTATCTTTGTGTTTTAGAATTTTTTTACTATAAGTATTCATGGGAAATCAATGACCCAATGGGACGAGGGCAATTTTGATCCCAGTGCTTTCGTTCAAACAAAATTGAAAGACACCCAATACAAGATGTTTCATGCTAATTTTATATGTAAGCTCTATCTCATTTATTTTTTTGGAAAAAGAGTTGTTTACTATTACATTTAAGGAAAATCAACGCCCTCCCCCTTGGTCGGGGCCAATTTTGATCATAGGGCTTTTATTTGAATACACTTGGAAGACACCCAATAGAAAATGTGCCATGCTAAATATCTAAGCTCTATTCTTTGATTATTTAGAAGAAGTTTTTACGTTTGATTACCGTAGCAACCAGATTTAGCATGGGAATTAGCTCCTTGCCACTTGCTCTTGTTGCTGGGTCGGGTGGGGGTTGCGTTCATTGAACGCCGTCTTTCCTTGTTGATCTTGTTTATCATATTTTATGCTCACAGCCGTGTTGTTTGTGCCATGTGGCGGCTGTAAAAAGTCTTCCCGTACATGTTATCGATCTTGTTATATTTTCATCCTCAAGGGATTGTTCGTCGTTCAGTGTGGTTGTCCCCCTTCTTGTCCAGTCTTCATAGTCTAATGGTTTATATTTATTTCAAATTTTCATACCCAAATTTTCTTTAATCTTACCATTTTGCAGGTTCTGTGTTCAATGTGGCACCGATATTTTAGTCTCGTTACTTTAATACTGGTCACGGAATCATTTCTTTACAACACGTAATTATGAATAACTTGAAGAGGAATAATATACACCACCTTTTACCTCTTCGGGTACATTCTACGTCTACAAATTATATACAGATGAGACATCACAGTACACCTAGACGAGCACCATCCGTCGTTCTTACGCCTTTAAATTTGCCATCTGTTAATTCATTTTATATTCCACGATCCATAAGCTCTAATAATTTCAATAATTTTTGACGCATTAGGCTTCTCTCTATAAAACATACTATTCTTAAGAAATATATTGTCACTAATACAAATTATCCTCATAGATCAAGAATGTATCCTATTAATAACTGTAATTCTAAGAGGTGCGGATGTTGTACCTTTTTATCGCACAGGTCTACAATAACCTCTAATGTCAATGGGAGAACATTTAATGTAATTTTATATACAGATATTACTGAAAGGCAACACATTTTGTTAATGTTTTGACACAAAACACCCCTGGGTGTGGCATACAGTATGTTGATCAGACAGAACATTCTCTTAGAATTCGTTTCGTGAACATTTTCATAAAATGAAAAATCGCACAAAATTTACACCTTTTCTATATCAACATTTTCGTAAAGATGGTCATTCATTAACAAATGTTTCAATTCAACCAGTGGAACATAAAAGTAATATTCTGATGCTTCGGCTAGTTTTAAAGTAACCGTTAGACACTTGGCAGAATTAAAATGGATCAAGAACTTACAAACGCCTTTCCCAATGGGCGTAAATGACAAGTTTTTTCAACAAGGTAACATCTCTTAAGATCATAACATTGATATATTTTCTATTATGAATTTTCGTAAACGTAAATGAATACGTAAAAATGGCAACATCAAACGTAAATCTAAAATAACCCTGTCTGTCACCGACTTTAATACTATCTTAAAAAGTTCTGGTAAACATGCAATGTTATAACGTCCTACTTTCCTTTCATTATCATCTCTGAAAATCTTAGACGCGGAGGCAGACAATATAGTTATTCAAACAGATCCTTTATATACAGCAGATTATCTTATTCAAAGTTTTACTCAGCACGTCTTAAGACCTCATATTGACATCAATTCTGACCAAGACAGGCATTTCCTAAAAGTTACCTTTGTGAATAAAGGTATCGATTTCATCGATTTATCCAGTATATTTCGTGATAAACGTGTCACTGATTCAGTTCCTTTATACACATATAATTAGATACTGTGATAAAGTATACGAAAATACCGGCAAAAATCTATTGAAGAATTCCGGGGAAATTCTGGATAAATTGAAAATAAATAATTATCAAGCTTCAACTGTCAGTACTTATGATTAATCTACCCTTTAACTTTATACTACACTGCCACATAATTTAATTAATAATAAACTAATTTCCCTTATTAAGAAAACCTTTGCACGGGAAAAAGTTACATTTCTTGCATGTTACTCTCTACAAACTGTATTGTAAAACAGTATACTATGTGGACCTGTGACGAAGTTTGTAGAGCACTCTCTTTTCTTTTCGGCAAAATTTATCTCAGACTTGGTAATACCCTATTCAAACAAATCATAGGAATTCCTATGGGTACTAATTGTGCACCCCTGGTCGCCAAATTGTTTTTATATTGCTATGAAAGAGATTTTATGTTGAGTCTCTCTGAAAATACACAACAAGATTTTATATCAGCATTTAATAACACTTCCAGATACCTTGATGACATTTGTAATTTAGATAATTCTTATTTTGATCAAATGGTGTTTTATATTTATCCTACTGAGCTACAACTTAATAAAACGAATTCTTGAAATTTAACTAAATCATTTGTGGATCTTCATATCACTAACAAAAACAATTCTATTCACACGAAAATCTATGATAATAGAGATAACTTTGATTTTGGTATAGTAAATTATCCTAATTTGGATGTAGACGTACTGCATGCAACATTTTAAGGGGTTTATATATCTCAGTTAATCAGATTTGCTAGGACTTGTAGCAACGTAAAGGATTATAACGAGCGAAATAGTTCCATTACCGGTAAGCTACTCAAACAGGGCTACCGCTATTATAAATTACATAAATATTTTACAAAACTTTGATTTAATTCAAAATTCAATAGTAATCTAAAAACACTTCTGCGACAAGGGATAAGCCTGCCTGATTTTTACGGGGATGTTGTTTACAAACTTCGTCAGATCTTGGGTCATTGTAATTTTTCTGTTGTCTTTACTATAATTATGAAACGTTTTATTAAAAGGGGTTATGACCCTACTATTTTAAGACATACCGTATGCTTAGTAATCAACCCATTTACAGTTGGACGCTACGCTTTCCTCTTTTGATAACATCTGACGGACCAAGTGGGAGACTCTTAAACAGTTCGTAAAGCCATTTTGGACTGAATTGCCTTAATGTTCGTCTTCTGTCTTGCTTCGTCGGGCCCTTGTTGGTGATTTTCTTGTTGCTCTGTCTTCCTTTAAGACATTGAATACTTTTGTTATGGCCATTGTATGTTTTTACATGATCATTTTGGTGTTTTACTTATTTAACCTTTTGTAACCATAACAACTGTTAGAATTTCACTTGGCGGGGATTTATTTTATTTACACTGTCTTGTTTATAGGAACATGGTTGGGCTAAGAGCGAGGTTTGGTGCACCATTAACCGGTTTAAACTCCAAAGCCGTATCAATGCTGCTGACCGCTCCAAAGCGGCGCCCCTCTGTGTTCCTCAGATGTATGTCTATTTTGTTTAATACTGTTTTGGTGACACTTGTGTCAATTGTTGTTTTCTCGTCTACGGTAAGTATTTTACCCTTTCCCCCTAGTTTTTATTTATTTTACTTATCACCTCCCTTCCCCGGGTCTCCTGTCCCCTTCCCCTGTGCCCTTTGACTTTATGGGCCTATTATTCAATTACTTATTTGTTTTCTTTTAGTTCCTTATCAGTTACTAATAATTTATGATATTAATGGTTAGCCTGCACATTCTCTGCCTTGTGCCCTGTCCTCTTTTTGTTTAGGGTCCTCCTGGGCTCCTTGCCACTGGCTCTTGTTGCTGGGTCGGGTGGGGGTTGCGTTCATTGAACGCCGCCTTTCCTTGTTGATCTTGTTTATCATTTTTTTCAACAAATTTTATTTAAGTTCTCTGTCAGGAACATTCCTGCTCAGTTTTTACAATATTGGCATATTGGAATATGATGAAATGTTGTTTAAAGAAAAAAATTGACGCGGTTTAAGACGCACGACAGACGAATGACGCAAAATGATCCCAAAAGATCACCCTTTATAACCTTGTGCTCAGTTGAATTAAAAATAATATTTTCCGTAAATAGAGTAAAATAGTACGGATGAAAATATTTATGATGTTATTTTACGTAAGTTTTTAACCATTCAGCAATGATTTCGTGCATACGAAAATATGATATCATATTTCCTTCATACATGCAGTTTTGTTAATTTCTTTTTGGAAATTTAACCATTATTTTTGTATGCAGATATAAAACTTTATAAAGGTCTACACTTAAAACATGTCTTTATTTCTTCACGACTTGCATTTTTATGCCTTTTAATCTATATGTATGCTCATCCTAATTATGTTGCTATAATCTAGTGATGTTAAAATGAACATACATACATGAGCCGCGTCACGACAAAATCAACGTTATGCGTTTGCGACCAGCATGGATCCAGACAAGCCTGCGCATCCGTGCAGTCTGATCAGGATCCATGCTGTTCGCTTACGAACCGTATAACAAGTAGCAAAACTGATAGCGAACAGCATGGATCCTGATCAGACTGCGCGGATGCGCAGGCTGGTCATTCATGTTGGTCGCAAACGCATTACGTTGGTTTTGTCGTGACGCGGCTCATATCGTATTATCGCATGGTTTGAAGATTTCTCTATGTTCTTTCTAACCCATTATATTCAGTACTCGTATCAGTGCTCATTTTCTCCTGATATATCAATATCTTTTTTACTTTTGATTGCGACAACAAAAACAATTGCACAAAACAACTGCATTTACTCATTGAAGGAACGCACACAACTGACTTATTATGTATAGCTGTAGGGCAGCTTACGACAGCATTTGCTGGTAATGGTTCATGTACTTAATTTTATTTATTTATTTATTTTATTATTTATTTTATTGTTGGGGGGGGGGGTATTTTGTGATTGCATGCTTGCTGATTTATGTTACAAAACAGACATTGGGATAAAACAGTAATAATATAGGAAACGAGTTTGTCACGAGGGTATAACACTGACGGCGGAGACATTGATGTGACAGCAGGCCAGTGATATTACGTAAACGTTTGAAACCAGATTAACTAGATTATATAACTTATATATAATATCTACATACCGTTCACAAATATTTCACTTACCCAATGTCTTTTCAACACTTCCACAAAATCCTTCTTGGAAACTTTTTGATTCTGTTAAAGTAGATTTTAAACAATATCAAGCACTCATATTTATGTCAATGATACTGTAGTCATCTAAAGATACCAAATATTCAAATTACAAAAGGACATGATTTACAGGGAATATAGCCGCCATATCAGTGCTATTAATTATTTCTAATGTAAATGGACTTTTTTCACTTGATCCGAAAAAAAAAGTAATTTTATAGATCAAATATCACATAAATGTGTCATAAAAATATAAACATCCCCCTTTGCCTGTTAAAGGTCTTACTCTATTTTAAGACCATAAGCTTGATATGAGAAAAATATACAGATCTATAAATAAAAGAAATGTCAATTTACATATAAAATAATTATCAAATAAACTTACCATACAGGAATAACAAAATGATAAACGCTAACAAATGAAGAGAATACATGTTTAAAAATGTATTAATGCTATCCTTGTCAGCCACTATCACAAATGAAACCCATAGTGTGTATATATAAATTTAGAGTTTACTGCGGATGTAAAATTGGTTTTGATACACAAGCTATGACAGTGTTCTTCCTGTCTTACTAATTTACTTACTTTGCTGATGAAATTATATGTATATTGTTTAAGTCGCATTATGTACATTCAGAGGAATAAAATGAGTGAACAGATAAAAATCCAAATAAGTTTACATTTTGCCTAATTCCTTGCAATTTTAAAAATTATTTCACATAAACAATTGATAAAACACGTAGACAAAGGAAATT